ATTAGAGATATGCCCAGTTTTTGCTGCGGCATGTTGCACATGCTGCATTTTCTTGTTTGCTAGACAGGGGGCCCAACTTCTAATCTTGCACACAGGCCCACTGCTTTACAAAAATGCCCTTGGTGATAAATCTAATTTCTTGATGTATAGTATATGTATGATATATACTGTAAAGTGTCTTGCAGTGTGGATGGGCAATTTTTGCACTACCCCATTATCCCCAGTCTGCCAGTTTTGCTACTGTATTTCTCTACATACTGTATAAGGAAGGAAAAAGCTAAATAAGTGTTCCTTTCGATGAACAAATTACGAGTTTAGTAACCTATAAAAACCAATTAGAAATAACTACACTGAAGTCAGACAAGTACAAGATAGATCCTAAATGATTTTTATAGGTAGTGCACTTTGCATTTACTGTAGTTCTTTTTTTTGGCACTCTTTTAATGAATAGTCTTTACAAGAGAATATAATAATTATGCGAATACAATTATAGTACAAATCTTGCACTATAATAAGTAAGCACATTTAAATAAATCATAATGTGTTAGGACTGCTCACAGTTAAAGTACTGTATTATTAAACCCTCTGCAATTTTTAATGTGCAGGTTAATGTCAAGCAGTGTAACATTACCTGGTACATTTATTCCCTTATACCTGTGGCCAAACATACCCTACCTGCTCATTGCTGCAGGTGCCAGGTCCACATGGATGCTTCCTCTGAACCTCCAGGGAGTGGAGCCGAGCATGCTCCCTGTGCCTCTCTCATCTACGGAGAACTAGGGACAGCACAGCCTCCAGCCACTGTCAATCAGCAGCTGGAGGGAAGAGCAGAGGTGTAGCTTGCAACCGGGGCTATGATCTTTTGTTAATGTTAGGAGACCTATCCACGGTGCTGGATGGAAGTGCACGCGCAAAAACGTTGCTCCATGAGACCCTGTAAGGGCATGGAGCCACCCGAAGGCAGGAACCAGAGAGGGGTGAATTTTCTACAGATGATTTAAAAGCACTCACCACATGAAATGCTGAATATTGAAGTGCTAAGGTATAGGCTGAAGCCATGGGAAACTGTGACATGACAACAGGCCTCCAGCCTAGATCCCATTCCTCAGTCAGAGCCTCCAGCTGTGACCTTGGGATTCTGTAGAATTTGGATGGATCCATTGTTACTGGGGATTTTGGCCAAAGCCACAGACAATGCTATTCACCAAATATGGCCGTATTAGATCAATGATGTCACCAACATCCCAACATCTTTGTAATGTGCAGCTGATTGGGCCATGTGCCTGCTATGAGAGCTTTTCACAGATTTCAGAAAAACTGTAGCTCATCACTGGTGCTGAGGTCTACTGTCAAGGGTTTAAGAACACTTTGGTGCATATTAGGTCATAATTAATTTGTGTTTTTCAAGATATGGCTACTGTATGTGTGTGATGGAAAACTTTAATTTGTTTGTAAATATTATCCAGTGTACTCATGCACATATTCTGGTGTATTTATGTATGAGATGTATTGGCTAAGTTTAACAATCAACCAGGCGATTGTCATTGGTATACAAAGTTTGGCAGCCCATAGATCAGAGGTGTCAAACTGGCGGCCCTCCAGCTGTTGCCAAACTACAAGTCCCATCATGCCTCTGCCTTTGGGAGTTATGCTTCTAACTGTCAATCTTGCAATGCCTCATGGGACTTGTAGTTTGGCAACAGCTGGAGAGCCGCCAGTTTCACACCTGTGCCATAGATGATTCAGTTTTGGTTTTTTTTTTTTGGGAGGGGGGATTTGTTCAACCAGTAGGTTGAATTATAAAAATAATTACCACATTCCCCTTCCACACATTCAAGGTGGATATGGGAATTAATTTCGCTGAAGTTTCCCTGTCGTCCGAATACATCTGGCAGCACTGATGAGACAACATTTATCCCACAGGCTGGTTGTACAGAAGTTGATTAGTAGATTGACTTCTGTACAACCACTGTCCCCATACATGGATCAAAAAATTCAATCCATATATGGCCAGCTATACACACTCAAACTGAATATTTGCACAAGCAGTGATGAAGAGCAGGTCACCATACCAACATTACTACTAATATATGTACTGTATGTTTTAGTTTAGAACAAGATACATAAACTGTATCTTTTTGTAAAATACACAAGACAATGGAGGTGTGTTACAAAGAGAAACATAAAATTTCTTTTAAACTTTATTAACCCCCAAAAGACAAATTATCTAACTATCTATACCTTCTGGAGACCTAAATCATTCCTGCAGGTGACGAAGATGGAATTCTTACATTTTCTTTGGGCAACATAGTGGCTAAATGGTTAGCACTTCCGCCTGGAAGTACTAGGGTCATTGATTCGAATCCCAACCATGGCACCACCTGCCTGGAGTTTGCATGTTATCCCTGTGCCTGCGTGGGTTTCCTCCGTGTACTATGCTTTCCTTCCACACTCCAAAGACATGCTGGTAAGTGAATTGGCTCCTGTCTAAATTGGCCCTATGAATGTGAGTTAGGGACCTTAGATTGTACACCCCTTGAGGGTTAGGGACTGATGTGAATGTACAATATATATATATATATGTAAAAGCGCTGTGTAAATTGACAGCGCTATAGAAGTACCTGGAATAAATAAATAAATACCACAACCTTTTTTTTTTTTTTATAAGTGATTACGTATTCTCTTTTCTCAGCTGCAAAAGGTGCTTAGAAAGATGGAAGTGGAGAATAAATAAATCAATAAACTGATCTTCCCAGTGAATGGCTGTGCAGGGGGGCATGTCAGCACAAGTCTGATAATTGGAGGACAGGCAGGCTGTGCTCCCAGCATAGCCAGAAAACTGATCATGCTGATGACATACGGACGTTAGTCTGCTGGAACACAGGGGAAAGGACACTGCAGAGACTGGTCTAGCGGCACAAAGGAAATTGCAGGAGCGGACAATTGGGTAAGTAAATCTTCTTTTCCATGCCCCCTAGATATAAATGAGCAATTTACCCTTGCAGTGTGGGCACAGCCCCACTACAAGAGATAAGTTTCAACTTTCCAGATATTTCCTACAGTATTTTAATGATAAATGCAATCCCATAGGTTATTTTCAGAACAAAGCTCTAAAATTTAAAACATCTGACAGTAAAAAAAACATAAAGCCATATACGTATAATTCACATGATAATATGTGGGCTTTATAACACCCTGTGGCCTGACAAATGGGAGCTGGAAAACAAACTGGGATAAAAATAGACAAAACTTTTTTTATGAGGAAAGCAGAGTATAATCTGTACAAATGGCCATTTTCCAAACTCTTACCAGGCCAAAAATAAAAGCAACCTACATTTTCAATCAATAAAGAAAAATACCAGTATATTTAATTACAGAGATCAATTATTCCTATTTTTAGCCAAGCCTGTGCTTTAGTTGCTCTGCTAACTGTAGACAGAAAACCGTGAAGTGCACGCACAAAACAGGAAGACGCAGGGATGCAGAAAAATTGTCCATTAAGCATTGCACACAGTATCTTGCCGTTAAGAATTCATGAGACTTCCCTTTTTCTGTGGTGTTTTTTTTATGGGTCATCAAAATAAAGGATGCTTATACACATTTTATTAGCTGCCAACATAACTTAAAAACAATACCCTCATTTGTGACCTCTTCAATTTACAGTACATTCTTTCATTTCTATATGTGGGCTTGTGTCAGAGTAACATTTTTCCCTTTACAATAGAGAACATTTTTTTATCTGGTAAAGCTGAACTTCAGATAGATATAGAAAGCACCAATCATTTCAGATCTGTAATCATTAAATGTATTTTTAATGCAAGCAGTATGAGTGTCTGAATTTGACCCAATATCAGCCTTATGCAGTTCCTGGACAGTCTGTGCAGCAAAGCTCAGAGAGGGAATGGGAGAATCAGCAGAAGGCGCCAGTTAGATGTGCTGCAGTGCAAGGAGCTATGCTGATAGGAGCAGAGAGCAGAGTGATAGAAATTAGCTCATCAGTGTGCTGCATTCTTCTTTCTCTGTCCAGTCACAGATGAATGGAAGGGAGGAGACGTGTACGTGTTATTGAACTGCAGCAGAGAAAATCAGGTCTCCTCCCCTGCCAGGCAGGGCTGTGCTGTGTGGTGGAATTGTGTAATTCCCTAGACTGGATGGACAGAAATACAAATCCTTTGATGGTTAAAACAGTTCTCATATATGCATTTAATCTGTGTATTTAACTGTTTGCCTGGAGTTCAGCTTTAATCTATTACTGCAGTGATTTCCATTCATACTCATGTGACCATGTGCATCAGTACCTAAAGCTGGCCATAGATGGATCGAAATTTTGCTGGTTTAGCAGGAACTGGCCAAGATTTGATCCATCTATGAGCATGCTGGTCGTACTGAAGGCAATCCAACTATCAACTTCAGTACAACCAGCCTATCCCATTTTTTTTCATGCATGCTGTTTTTCAACATGGTGCTTTAAAGCTTTACTCCAGAAAATGAAAAAGTCCTCCTTTGTAGTGGGGCTGTGCCTGCACTGCTGTTTGCTTTTCCTTTATGCCTAGGGGATTGTGAAAAGCACTCTATCTCACCAAATCTTCTGCATCTGCAGGCTTATTCTGGCTGCTAGACCAGTCTCTGTGCCCTGACAGTCTAAGGTCCTCTGATATGATCAAGTCCAATGGAGGGACTATAGCCTTGCAATGGAAGTGAGAACCCTGAGCGACAGTACACTGTCTGAGCACAGTAGAGCTCCCTTTGCTGGAGGAGTGGAGGAATGGGGTAAATTAAAGAGCTTTTCCTGTCCCCTAGACTAAACAAGACTTAACCCATGCAGTACTGGTGCAGCCCCACTGCAGAGGAGGACTTTTTAGCTTTCCAAGATTTAGCTTTAATGAAGAACAAAGAATACTAAGATGTTATATTTTTTCTTTATTTAGATTTTAGTGAGTCAAAAATCCTCACTAACAAATAATGTATGCCCACACTCCTTGAGAACAGTTGATCTTTACCTTAACAATACATTTAATAGTAGAACAAAGAGTAACACCAGCATCTGCGAGAACCCACTCATCTCTCAGCACTCCTCCTGCGTATGTCAGCTCCAGATATCGTCTCCCTTGTTTGTCATCTGTCAGCTGAATATGAAAAAAGTCCTACAAAACAAACATTCTGTTGTGAATCAGTTCTGAACGGTTGCGTGTATTTGTGCCACATACAGTAGAGTTCAGCATAAATCAGATCGAAATGAGGACATCAACACCCACTTCATTCTGTTAACTCTAAAGATTTTACTCCATTAACAAAGTGTAACAAAGTACAGATAAATACCCTAAAACTTTGAATGCACTTCACACATACGCTGCCTAGTAACAAACTCTTTGTTAAATGGTTCTCATAGATTTCAGAAGACCGTTTCATACAATGCTCCAGTGAAGTTGCTTTTCTAAGGGAATATAGGTTGTTTGCATTACAGAGGAATTTTAGTTGGCTTAGTAAAGGAGAGGAAGTTTTACTTTGCAAAGAATACCCAATCATAAGCAAGGAAAATAAAAAAGCAACATTTTTGCTTGCACATGATTGGATGATGGAAGTCAGAAGATCTTCACCTCATTCACTGAGTTCTTATGAAATTCAATAAATCAACCCCCATGTCTTTGGAGCAGCACATGGCAGTCTCAAACAAGTGTTCTCAGCTAACAAAAATTGAGGCTAGAAAACCTTTCACGGTCACTATTTTTCCCTAAAATTGCAACTGTCTGCCAGTAACTCATCCTCCTTTCTACAATGCTCTATACAGGGGCATTTGTTTAACTTCAGCGCTTCCCTTTAGGGGTGAAACTGGCCAAAAAGACACTGTGAAAGTTACTATACCTTCTGGAGACCTAAATCATTCCTGCAGGTGACAAAGATGGAATTCTTACATTTTCTTTGGGGTCATAAAACGTAGCGGATTACTTACTAGCTCTTGGCCTTACCAAAGGAGAGAGGGGAAATCAGTTTTACAAACCTTTTCAAATACTATGTCCATATGTCCCACACATTAGATTGCATCAAAATTCTGCTGAGAAGCGCTGGGTTGGCCTGGAGCAAGATATTTCACCTCTTCCATTGCAGTCCTTCCCATGGCAGTGTTTGGCTTTACCACAGGAAATAAAGTTGCATACCCTGATTGATACTATGTTGGTAGTCTTGACTAAGGTGGGCTGTCTCTGAAATTCTTCCCAGATGCCTACTCTTATGTCCCCAGATATTGGGGCCTGAGACTTTATTCCTGGTTTGATGGATCCAAAGTTTAAAGCTTTCCTTTTATCCAGCCAGTTTAGGATCAAACATTTCCTACAGAGAGGTCATTGGCTGACAATTTCAGAGATTTAGGGCATGCTCTCTCCACCTCTGAATTATTGAAGAGCCATGCAAATTTGATATTTCCCAAAATGTATGCCATTGTGGAACTTGTTTTTGGCTCCGATGTCTACATATGAACATTTCACCACTTTGCCATATGCTGTCTCTTACTCATTAGTGAATAATCTACTCTGTTCTTACAAAAATGGGAGAGGGACCCTTACAGATAAACAGAGAGATTGTGTTCTGTTCTTCAAACACAGGTCCTCCAGCTCTAGTAGACATAATCAAGAGTCGGGTTACAAATTGTTAATCCGATGGCATAGAGCTCCCTCACTTTTACATAAGATCTTCCCATCAGTTTCTCCCCTCAGGGATACCAGCACACTGCTACACATCTTTTGGTTATGCCAGCATATACATCCATTTTGAGAAAACATCAATAGACCAATCTACTAACTTACCAACATTATCATAGAATTTCATTCAGAGGTGATCTCGTTACATATCACTCCACTTTCGAGGTGCTGATATAAAAATCCCTTTTACGCTGCTTTTTCAATGCCGCTAAAGTGTGCACTCCCTAAAAATGGAGAAATATGGACCCCCTGACAATTGGGCAATGGATAGCAGTGTAAACGGAATTGATAATATGTAACGATTGACTGCTCTTCTGAAACGTAAAACGCAAAAGGTAGTTTTATTGGCACAATTTCCACTGTTCACATGACTATACTGCGTACTTGGCAGATATGGTCCCTCAAGACCCTTCCGCGTAATGATTAGCTCATTCTTTTTAAGATTCATAGTGAATCTGTTCAGTGAACCCCAGCCTTTCCCTTTTGGTCTTGTATCTGCCCCCCTGTAGTTTTCTGCAGCCTGTAGCATGTGGAGCTACTGGGTCCCTCCCACAGTATTGCTTTCTGGAAAGGATATGCACGGCACAAAACTGATGGCAACACTACTTCACAAAGTAAAATTTGGATTTGCAATAGCATTTAGTATACACAAAGTGGATTTGTGGTTATTTAGGAATATGAGTATTTAAATAAACATTTTAGTGATTGTAGTTTAACCTTTTAAGGTGCTTATAGCCATCAGAGAACCTTTGCCCAATCTAGCCATTTATGGCTGGATTGGGAATTAATTTTCTATCTGCAAGCCATAGTTTACCATAGCAGATGTCTCCTGCCTAAGTATACTTAGGACTGGAGAAAGTTGACCGGCTGGGTTGGATTCTTCCTGACCAATTGCTATTACTTTTTCTCCTTTCCTGCTGCTTGTGTCACAATCATTCATTTGAAAGATTGTTTCACAACCAGATGGTGCGTGTACAGCCAGCTTCCGTCTAATGTCTGCTGGATATTTATAGAGCTTTGCCTCAATCTGCTCCACTTTGTTTTAATTCAGACATTTTATAATCCACTATTCAGCAGATATAAAGGAACAATTGCACCCAGAATATCTTGCGAACCACTGGAACAAATGACTGCCCAATGCTAGCTGATCTATGTCAGTAGTATTGCAAGAAAACCACACCACTCCAAAAACCAACCCTTGCTTTAGCTACAGGTGAACCCAGGTGCCCACTATATCATTATGCCTTTCAGGGACATTTACAGATGAGACTATGATTAATCCTTTTCTTGCAGAGTGAATCCAGTTCTTCTGACAGCAGATGATCTTGGGAACTGTGGTCCTATAGCCAATACATACTGTATATCTGAGTGCTGATTGAACTACAACTACCAGAGAGGCTGTGCTATCCATAGAATTGGTGAGCAGGGGGATGCCAAACCTCTTTCTGTCTTTCTGAGACACTGCATGGAGACACCTTTACACATCAGTACCAGGAGATCTTTGCTTTGAGCGGTACCACAGTCTACCTTTGTAACTTCATTAAATTACCAGTATTCACTAATGTTTAGGGGACCCACGATTTCTAGCAGAAGGCAACAAAAACTACCATATCAGGAATTTTAAACATCACAGGACTCGAAATGAAATCTCTAGTAGCAGTTAAGCACAAGAGCCCAGACTCCACCTCTCCAACAGGCGGCTCCAGGCTTGTTTTGTTTGGACAATCCAAAGAGGAGGTGTGGTATTCTGAGTGATCATGTTGAACAAAGGTTCAATATACTCAAAGAGGGGATTGTGGGGAAATATGAGCTAGAAATATTTTAAATGCAAGGACTTCCTGCGCTAGGAATGGGGCCCTATTCACCAAGCTGCTGACACAACACTCCTTACCAACTAAAGTGAATAAATAAATAATATATATATAAAGTGCAGCGCTATCTCTAAATGTACTAAATAATTTATAAATATAAAGTGCAACACTAATTATACAAGTGCTCCAAATAATACCACAAGGTACTAAATTAATGTGCAAAATAGTGCATACAAAAGTGCAAAACGTGTATTACAGTTCATATAAAGTGCAAATTAGTGCTAATATTAATCACTCCAACCATCTGTTGATACATAAATCCACAGAAAATAAATATATTGTCCAAATGCAGCAAAAAACTATTTTTCTTTTTCAATCTTCATGCATGTGTCACACGTGACCACACTGTGTAACTCCAAACTTTAGCCGTGATGGCCTCTCACCTCCTTACCCCGACCCCACAGGGTCAGCTTGCTTTAGACAGGGCACTTCTTTGATAGCTCACCAGGGCCTCGCCTCTAATACTCTATCTGCAGTCAGCTCCTCGGTTCATGAATAAACAAAAGAGACTAACATAGTGTAACCTGTTTATTTACTGATGTAAGTATGAAAAAAGATTGCCCACTCACATTTATATTTGTCTTCTCACAGCCTTCAATACCCCATGCTATAAATCTCCTGCATGGGTATTTTAATACAGGGATTTCAAATATGGCCGCCACGCCGGAAATGACGTCACCACGCTCCCAGAATCCTCCTCGCGTACCGACGCGTTGCGTCACGGTAGCACGTGACTTCCTCAGGATTCTGGGAGCGCGGTGACGTCATTTCCGGTGTGGCGGCCATATTTGAAATCCCTGTATTAAAATACCCATGCAGGAGATTTATAGCACGGGGTATTGAAGGCTGTGAGAAGACGAATATAAATGTGAGTGGGCAATCTTTTTTCATACTTACATCAGTAAATAAAACAGGTTACACTATGTTAGTCTCTTTTGTTTATTCATGCAGGACTGATTTATAGAGCATGGGCTATCAAAGAAGTATTGAAGGCCCTGTGAGAAGACGAATATAAATGTGAGTGGGCAAAGATCTTTTTTTGCATACTTACATCAGTAAATAAACAGGTTACACTATGTTAGTCTCTTTTGTTTGGGCTATTCATGAACCGAGGAGCTGACTGCAGATAATAGTATCATAGAGTGGGAGGAATAGTGTCCCATCATTGGCAGTGGGGGGAATAGGTGCCCTTGGTATCAGTGAGGTGCTATGGCAAAGAAGTGCCCTCATCATAGTGTCAGTGGGAGGAATAGTGCCCCATCATATCAGTGGGGGAATAGCAAGGTATCAGTGGGGAGGAATAGTGCCTGACCCTGTGGGGTCGGGGTAAGGAGGTGAGAGGCCATCACAGGAGGGGTAAAGTTTGGAGTTACACAGTGTCGTTGGTGTCACGTGTGACACATGCATGAAGATTGAAAAAGAAAAATAGTTTTTTGCTGCATTGGTATTAGTGACACCATATGGGGCACTATATTTATTTTCTGTACGGATTTGGTGTATCAACACAGATGGTTGCACTTACCTGCTGCTCCGGCACTCAATTTTCGCGGCCGCTCGGCTCCGCCCCCTCGCCGGTGA